CCTCCTCCTCCTCCTCCTCCTCCTCCTCCTCCTCATCCGCCTCCTCTTCCTCCTCCTCTTCTTCCTCCTCCTCTTCCGATTCCTATTCCTATTCCTCCTCCTCCTCCCCCTCCTCCTCCTCCTCCTCCGCCTCCTCCTCCTCCCTTTTCCTCCTCTTCCTCCTCCCCGCCTCCTCCTCCGCCGCCTCCTCTTCCTCCTCCTCGTCCTCCTCATCCTTTCCACCGTCCCTGCACGCGCGGGATGCCCTGACTGCCCTTGAACGACCCGCCGCATCCCAAGCTACAGCAGGCCCCGTGCTAAGGCCCCCTCTCGAACTCCATCTGGAAGTCCTCGCGCCTCTCTGCGCCCCCTCGCGGCCTGGTGGCAGGGAGGAGAAGGGGAGGAGACGAAGGGGCGAGGATGAGCGGGACGGCGAGGGAGGGAGGGGAGGGTGAGAAGGAGGAAAGAGGGGAGGGAGGGAGGGGAGGGTGAGAAGGAGGAAAGAGGGGAGGGGGGGCAAGGGGGAGAAGGTGGAGGGCGAGAATGGGGAGGACGACGACGACGACGACGAAGACGACGGCGGCGGCGGCGGCGGCGACGCATGGAAGAAGGTGCGTTGCTCTCGCGCCCCCCCTCCCGTTGACAAGACAAGTCGCGAGTTCCCTCCAGATTGTCTCCCTCACGGCCTCGCCGCCTCCGGTGCGGGCGCGCGGCGCGGGCCCTGGTGCACGGGGGGGAGAGGCCTGGAGCGGCCACGCAGCGAGGGCGCCGGGCGGCGGGGGGCGAGGCCTGCCGCATGCAGCAGATCCCAGGACATCCCCGTTGCCAGACCCCTTCCTTCGCGCTGCGTGAAAAAGCACGACGTGAGGTTTCTCGCTAAATTGGGCCTCTGGGGGCCAGGACCGGGCCCCGGGACCGACGCAGAACGACTCGGGGTGAAACACCAGTCCCAGGGAACGGTTCGAGACCTCATGACGAAACAATCATGACGTCGGGGGTTTAGGTCTCCCCCTAACTTGGGGTCGTTTTTCAGTCTTCGCGCCGGCCGACCACCCAACGTTCCCGCTCTGGGTGGCCCCAAGCATGCCCACGCGCACTGGTACTGCGTACTCCTCTCGCCCCTGCGCAGCCGACACTTTCAGCTTGTCCGGAGGAGGGAGCGGGCCCCCTAGCCCAGTTTACAGTCAACCCGTATCATCGGGACGCACGACAAGGAGGCAAGGGGCTGGAAAGGCCATGTCAGCACTTGTCCAGCGGGGCGCGGCCGGCAAAGGAGGCCGAGGAGGGGCTGAAGGAGAAGGATGCAAGGGTAACCCTGGAAGGTTGCTCATCCTTACTATGCGGGCTGGGCGTGCAGAAGACATCGGCCACACGCAAGAGTGACCCAAGGGTAAGAGTGACCTTTGGTGCGCGGTTTTGGGGTGCCGCGGGGAGGCGCGCAAGCCGCTGCTACCGCGTCGTTTTCAGCCATCTGAGGGCCCATCTGTGCCCGCACCCAAGGTCACTCCGGCGAAAGGTCATTCTTACGTCTAGTCGAAAACAGCAGTCTCCTGAGAAAAAATACATCGGCTTGAACATAACCTGGCGGAGGCCGGCATGAACATCAGCTCGCGGAGGCCCGCGCAGACTTTTCTGCGGGCCACGGGCGTCGCGGGAAGCGCCGCGGGGAAGGACCCAGCGCCGATCCGAGAAACCCGCGCGGGCCTTCCAAAGTGTGTCCTTGTGCTGAAGGGGCCCCGGGACACACAAAGAAATACCCACCAAGCCCAGGATTCCCATATGTTCAATTGTTTTCTGGATGCTTTTTCTTGCCCAACACTTCCTACATTGTCAAATAATTCTGTGGAAATCAGAAGTTGTGGGTGTTTGTGTGTTTTTCCCTCCTAGTTCTTGCTCTTCGACTGACCCCGCCCCCCCTCAAAGCCCCCGCTCGAGCTCGGGCCGCTCCTCTGCGGGGGGGGGGACAGATACCCCGCCAGCAGAACGCATTTCTCACGCCGCAGCGCGGAACGGGTGATCCGCTCGCGCGCTCCGGCAGCTGGGGACGCGCGGCGGACGAATTCGCCGGCAGCGAGACAGGGCAGGAAGAAGAAGGGAAAGGAGAGAAGAGCAAGGAAGAAGAGAAGAGAGAGAAGAAGAACGAGGAGGAAGAAGAGAAGAACAAGGAAAGAAGAGAAGAACAAGGAAGAAGAGACAGGGCAGGAAGACGAAGAGGAAAAAGGAGAAGAACAAGGATTTGTCCTCGGACTTCGTTCCGCACGACTGCGCCGAAGAAGACGCGGCCGCGCCGACCCGCGGCCCCCCCGGGTGGTGCTCGCCCGCGGCCTCACGACTTTGCGACCAGGCGCCTCCCTGGGGCCCTGGGCCTTCTCTCCTCTCTGCGACCGGGCGCCCCCGCTTTGAGGGGCCCTGGGCCTCCTCTGGGGGTCACAGCGGGCGTGGGGGGAGGGCACCCCCCGAGGAGAAAAAAATGCTGCGGGAGTGGCCAGAGCGGCCAGCCTGTGCTGGGGCGACCTGGCAGTGGGCGCGCAGCGGCATTGCGACCACACCCAGGGGCTGAGGCCAAGGCCAGAGGCGATGAAAGCGTGGAGCAAGTCGAACCAGCACGTCAGGAAGAGAGCGGCACGCGAGCCCACGGCAGCGAGAGCGGGAGCATCCAAGTGTCCACCATGAAGCCGTGAGCGTCAAGCACTGCTGCAAAGGTACGGCGCCAGCAGGATGCAGACGGCCAGAGCGACGGTGGGGGGGCTTGGGCTGCGACCAGCGCGCTGCAGCAAAATGCTACCAGACTGCCATACTGAGCCCACGGGCTGCTGAGCTGCTGAGTAGCTGAACTGCCGGAGTGGCGCAGCGAAGCGAGAAGCCACCCGCCAACCAGACCAGGGCGCAGGCCCGCGGAAAATGTTGCCACCACACCAAGAAGCCGCGAATGAACTCAGCAGGATGCTCCAACGTCCGACGTCGTGACTCTTGCTGACACGGCGTGGCTCCACAGAGGAAGGGGCCCCTCCTCGGGAACCGGAGTCTCATCCTGCGTCGCTCTGTTGACGGCCCCGGGGCACGGCACGGGCCACCGTGGAGCCGAGACTTGCTGGAAAGCTCGCGACGGGATGTTTCCGCGGCGCGGGATGCTGGGAGATGTGAATGCATGAATTGATGACCTTGTTCTCGTCTCTCGCTCCCCGTGGCTCCTGGCCTTTCCCTCTTCTCCTGGAACGACCTCACGCCGGCATCAGAGGGCCGACACTGCACTCCGACTCCACCGTGGCTCGTGCCATGTCATGCACATCCTTTCCGAGCGAATGCTCCAGCACGTAAACGATGAGGCGTCAACCTCCGACCTCTCCGCCCGCCTTCCTGGTCGGGCCCCCCTCGGCCGCCCGAGAAGAGGCAGCCCCCCGCCGCCTCTGCGGGGACGCCAGCACCGATCCTGGCCAGGCCGATCCTGGGCCCAGGATCGGTGCACACGAATAGAACTGGGCCGGGCATGTCCCCCTGCAGGCGGATTTCGGAAGCAAACCAGCAAATAGTCAAAGCATCTTCAAAAAAATAGTCAGACACAGTCGAAACTCGTCCCCAGACTACTCTAAAACAATAGTTCCGAATATTAGTCCTGTAGAGGGACATGCCCAACTTACGTATAGAAGCCCCCTGCTTCACTATTCGCGATAATGGGTGGCGACATCCGATATCCTACCCCCACCAGCAATCGACGCTCCCGAATCGAGGGGAAGCGGGGGTAGGGTCCGGACTTCGCCACGCTATCGCCAAAAAGAATAATATTTGATGAGCGGCTTAAGAAGGGACCCAGGGTGGCCAAACACGGGCGCGCAAGCCGCTTCTACCACTCCGCGTTCAGCGATCGGACCCCATTAACAGAGGCCTCCTAGATGGGGTCGGGGTAGATGGAGTCGAAGGATCGCGCCGCATCGCCGATGCGTCGCCAATGCATCGGCGATGCATCCGCCATGCACTGCGTGGACAAAGTTGGGCCCAACATCGAGCCGCATCGCCGATGCATCTCCGATGAATCGGCGATGCGGCACGATCCTCCGAGCCCATCTACTCCGACCTCGTCTGGGAGGCCTACATATAATTAAAGCACGCACTACAGGTCACTCCAGGAAAGGTCACTCTTACGTCTGGTCGATCTCGGTGCCATCCTGAGGGGCAACGATAGGGAGGATAGGGATAGGGGGGGAAGCATCGGCTTGGAATCGGCGATGCATCGCCGATAGATCGGCGATGGGCCTCCAGTGGTAAAATCCGCACCTTCCTGGGCGGGCTGGGGCTGTCGGGCCCCTCTCGGCGATCAATGGGCGATTGGGAGTCGATGCATCCCCCCCTGCGCCTATCCCCCGCCCCTATCGGGGCCCCCGACATCCGATGCCCCCCCACGCTCGAGCCTGACCGCCCGGCGCCCCGCGCCGCGCCGGACCGCGGGCGCGCCATGGGCGCCGCGGGAGCCGCCGCGCCCCGCCGCCGCGCCGCCGGGCGCGGCGCGCCGCGCGCGGGCTGGGGCCACGGCGAGGGGCCCTCGACGGGGGAGCGCGGCGGATAGC